TAGATTTTCCAATTAAAAATATACAAAGGCTAGACAAAATTCTAATTTCAAGAGGGGAATATTGGTGCGATATATTTTTCAGAAACCTCTTAATCCGCCACTGCGTTTCCATATTGTGTGTACATGTAAGTTGTTGTTGTTGTTGTTATTGTTGTTATTTACGTTGTGAGTTGTCTGTCGGCGCAACACTCAATAACTTCCTTTTCTTTAACTTGTTTGATTCCGTTATAATCTTTATCTGCAGTTAGTGAAAGTGTAAGTCATTTACTTTACAACATCAATTGAAAAGGCTACAAGTTGCCTTAAAATTTTGTCTGAGATCCTCTATGAAGAGGAACTGTAGTGGCCAACAAGATTTTTAACTCTGATTTTCTTTTACTGTTTTTGACTGTTATGCGCATTATTTTTTCGCTCGGCTTTCTCCTTTATATTCGCTTAAAAAGAGAGAGAGAGAGGGTATTCTAATTAAATTCATCCTTGTCGAACACAAATAAATAATAATGCTGTCAAAATTTTAATGCTTTGCCGATATCCATTTTCAATCACAGTTTTTCTTTTGTTTTTTTTTTGTTTTTTTACCTATATCAAATAATTATGACGAATTGTCGTGACGTCTGAAGCGTGACGTCTGAAGCGCATCTCTGAGGCGCGTTTACTAATTATTTTTCACTCGTGGAATGATTGTGTTAGTGCGGAAAATTTCTTTCTCACCAGATGACAACTGAAAACATTGATAATATTTTTTGAACCACCATTAAGATTATCAAGGCCATCAAGATCATCATCGTTACAAATCTCTGAACATCACTTCCGGCCAGTCTTATATTACTTCAAGGAACCTAATTTGCATATAAGAGAAAAAATGCATTTTTCTTGATTTTGGCCGGTCTTTAATTTTTTCATTATTTTCAAATAGCAATGTCATCTTTTGCTCACAAATCTGGACACCTTTATTCCAAATGCACTGTTTGTAAATTATGTAATTAGAAATAATTTTTATATCACAGACGTGTATCACGTTTTCACTCCACAGCCATAAAACTCGTCGATAGCTGCATGGGTATAAAAATAGGTCAATTGCCTGTATAAAATTCCCATACGATTATTGATTTTTTAGTGTGGACCGTTTTAGGGGGGAGACACAAGTGGGAGATGTATCAAGATACCAACAAAATATTTTGGTTACATGGGGTTACTGAAAGTCAGAGTATATTGCAAACTTTTAAAGAAAAGAGTAAAACTAGTCCACATCTCCAGCTTCATCATGTAGAACTTTATAGATGCCACGGTCCCTCTATATTTCATCTGACTCTCCCTAAAATTTTTCAGACCGCGTTAACTGTTCACATCCCGGGAACCGCGAAGCATCCAGCGAGGTAGCAGACGCTGAGCCCTGTAGACGGCACATTGCATTCACAAGAGGGGGTAAAGGTTTTTTTAGGGAAATGCTGTATTTTATTACATCTGACGAATTACGTGGTAAAGGAAAGGTGTTTTTTACATATTTGAATTTATATTGACTAAGTGCAATGAGAGACACCAATTCACTGTATTTCTTCTCAAAATTGACAGGTTAAAAAAAAAAAGAGCAGAAGGAGATTACCTATCTCCCCTATGAATCCTTACATGGCATATCCTATTCGTGAACTTTTGATCTACTTTAGTTTTCACACTCCTACACACGCTGAGTTTGTATGGTATTATTAGAAAATAGAAAAGGGGCGTATTGATGGGAGGGGATGGGGGAGAATTCTAATGTGACTTTTCATGATATGGTATTTCTATTTTGATAATGCTACATCTATAGCATATATTTTGGGTTCATGCACAGTACTACACACAGCTAGATTATTTGACCGAAGTCTGTTGTTTTATACGTTTTTTTTTTTTGTTATACAATAAAATATTTTATTTTAAAAGATAGACCTGGATTAAGAGCTTTGGCAACGGGGAAGAGTAGTTTTGCTGGTCTGCACATTCCGCGCTTTATTATAATTTTGATCTGATTCGTTTATTTTATGATGATTTACTTAGGACAAACAATGAACCGATGTACAACTTCAATGATTGGATTTGGCTATCCCCCTGTTCGAGCCTGTGTGTGCGCGAGCGCGCGCGAGCGCGCGTGTGTGTGTGTGTGTGCGCGCGAGCGTGTGTGTGTTTAGTGTATGTGTAGGGGAGGGTGTATGTCGTTTTCACGCAGTCCTGCCATACATTGATAAGGTACCAACATTATTTTAAAAATCAATTGTAAGTCAAGGGTGTGTATATTCTCTTTTCATTTTTATTTGCTTGAAGCTGTATTTGTCGTTCAGATTCCATCTTTAATTAAAAATATTTTGCCTTTGTCATTTTCATTAATTTTTCTTGCATTAATTCTGAAAAGTAATTTTTTTATTTTTAGGTAACAATTGCTTTTTTATAGATAGAGCCATCCAGATTTGTTCATGATTCCCTAAAATAGTGACAATACCGCTAACAAGAATGCCTTAATTAAACCCGTTCTCTAGCGCGATGTTTCCTACGTAAGAACTCCTATTTACGATTTTGATATGCACTGTTCGAACTTCGTCGCTTCGGACTGCGACTAAAGTATGATAGTGATGAAGACGTATGTGCCGAGATTTAACGTAAATGCGAAATGATAATAGATAAAAGAATATCCAGCTTTAATTTCAGTTTATTTTCCATGAAAGTTGTCTGATATCTTATTGATTCATGTGCCGATGTATGTTTGCAATATCTACTTTATGTAGGAGTGGTAGCAGCAACAGTTCACAATTCACTGCCAGAGACTTTTTGCTTGCCTTGCTTGTATCTGTAATAAAAAGTACAAGCTTAAAGCGCAGATAATTGGTAGCTATGTACAGTAATAGAACTAATAGTAATTAAAAGTGAAAACGATAGAAAAAACGCCCTTAAAGCTCGCATCAAGAACCATCACAGTAATCTCCATTTTAAAAGAATTCATACGCGACACAAGACAAAGACAATTGTCGAGCACAAGTTCATAAAAGTATTAGACACTTAAAAAAGGACTTTACAGAGACAATGAATAGCTCAACGAATATTATTCTTGTTTTATTATTATGTAATCTTCAAGACGTTAACCTTTATCACGCACTTCTAACTTCGTGTCCCATTTACATGCATCATACGCCACTTATACCAGTAGTTTGCTTGTTTATTTTGTTTTGGTACCTGAAGAAGGTTCACAAGCCAAAAGCTTGGGCATTTTTTTTTATCTCTTCAGAGTTAATCTTTACAGATGCGTTTTCAATATATATTTTTCGTAAAGATACGGAAGATGCTGTCGAATGAAAAAATTTCAAAAAGTTTCATTTATCAGTCATAACAGTTAATTATCATAAAAGAGGTTTAATTGTTATCTGATTCTGGTCCGAGGATCAGCTGATTGTGAATTCGGCCAGAGACAACCGGAGAGAGAGAGAGAAAGAGAGAGTACACTCTACCAAAGTCACAGATGGAGTTTTCACTAGATATTCACAGATATGTATAAAATGTAAGGGTGTCTTTCACATTTTTTAAAAGAAAGATTCCTGTTTGTGATTTGAGCGCAAAGGACGATCGCGTTTGTTACGTTATGTAAAAGCAGTAGGCCCTATTGACGACAGTTATCATCTGAGTCCTCAAAGGGGTCGAACTCCCAACACGGTCGGAGGTGGTTCGTCGGAGGTACGTTGTGTAGATTAATAATAATAACATTTTGTCTCTCTCGCTCTTCCTTTGGTGAGTCTTTCGATGCACACGAAAATCACTGCATAAGTTAGCTTAGCACCTGTGCTAATCATATTTTTAACAAACACGAAATTCAGACTCATTTTTAGACCTTCGTTACTGACGCTCGCAACACCATCTCACATTTGCCTTTAAGTTTATTTTCAATGAAGTAGAAAAATAAGGTACTTGTTTGGAAGCAAGTAAAATGTCTAAAGTCTCAGAAAATGTTTAGAAATTTTATCTTTAATAACGCAATAAATAGCCTGCAGCTACTTTTAAAAGATGGCGTATTTTTGTTCCAGATCATTAATTTTAGTTGCTTTAATGTTTTGAAATATTTTAGACATCAATTAAATTTTCATTTTAGTTGAGACAATGACTGAAAGCCCCGTTGGGTATTTTCCTTACCCGTAACACCCCATTCCTGTGAATCGTGAATTGCGGGTTTCTATCCTTCGTCCTTAGTGGAACGAAGTCATTATACTCGATGATAGTTATTTTCAGCTCGCCAGACTAGCATTTTCAACGAGATACGAATAAAGTTTTTATTAATTTATGTGATTTGATGATTTTATTTCCTGTGGCCGTGAACTGTAATCACTCCCCCCCTCCCCCTTCCAGCGGGCCCTCATGATTAGCTGGACGATATGTTAATAGGGCACAGTCATATGTTTTACACGAAACACGACAAAGTTGCATTCTCTTAAAAAACCATTTGCAAAAGCTTCGTTACCAGGAATTGAGAAAATATAGGCCTTCTTGGAACTGAGTGAAAAATTTAGACGTTTTGAAAAATAAATTAACTCGCATCTAATAGGCCTATGAGCTTACTAGTCTCTAGCGCAGTCTATAAAAGTAAAATACAGGTAGCCCTACTAGTTGCTGTGCAGGCAAAAATTGACTTTAGAATACTTTCAAGTACGTTTATTATACTTTTAATGATAATTACTCTAAATGCGAAGGTTTTATATAAGGTGATATTAAATGCTCCATTTGCTCAAATTGAACGTTGTGTTACATGTAGCAGTGTTGAGAACCAGTAAAGGTTGAAGCAAAAAGAAAACATATAAAATAAAAATAAAAAAGAATTTATAATTACCTTTTTGTAATAATTTATTCTCAATCAATAATCAATAATATCATATCTAAACAAAAAATCAAAAGATATAATAACTTGGACGCAGAGTAAAACTGCGGCGCGCTTCGTGTGACCGGATGTGCCGAGATGTGACCCAGTATTCACTGCGGGTTTTCGTTGACCTACTTAGTCGGGCTTAGTTCTGCGCAGCGGGAACATTTTTACACGTTTGTATGAAATAGCTTTATACCAAGGACAAGACATATTTATGAGCTACCATTCAAGTTTCATCTGAAGCAGTAAGACATTCCACGGTTTTGGCATCCTTTTAAATGCATGCAAAGACATTCTTGATGACAGAAGGGTGAGTACTTTTTTGTAGCGATCTGGTACCGGTATGACAATCAATTTTATTCAATCTGACTTAATGGGTTAATTTTCATTTATTCCACTAGTAAATGGCTGTGGTTCATCTTCGTCTCTTCTGGCAGTGTTCTGTAATATAGAAATTTTGTATTAAAGCATATGTTTAATAGAAAAATGATCATATTATAATACAATATTATAACACTATTTATCAACAAGTGTAAACCTTAATGGAGTAAGAGTTAAAGACTGTGTTATATATGCGCTTATGTTATTTTAAGAAATTTGCATTTTGAAGTTGGGGCATTTTAGGGTTTGACACGATCTTCTGTCAGACATAAGTAAAAAACTAACATTTATTTATTGTAAGTCGATTTTTAACAGTTTCAATTGTGCAGCTGCTGTATGGTGGTCATTTCCTCCTCATTTTCTACTACCTTTCTCCACTCTCCCCACACCGTTTTTTTTTTTTTTTTTTACCAACTTCTACATTAGTTGGTGTTCTTTCTCTTTGATAGTACAAAATACCCTCTTCAAGCTGCATAAGAAGACCATATGCAAACTTTACTGCATGAAATGTGTACAATATATTTAAAGGGATAATAACTCTTCGTATGAAATCTGTATTTCACAATAAAAACATTGTGAGTGACTCATAAAAATATAATATATTCTGTTTTCCCACAAAAACGGCTGTTATAGCTATTATTCTGATATCTGAGCTTGTCTTTAGACCACGTGACCTCCATTGATGGCTATACTCTGTTAAAATCTCTTAAGAGATTTTAACAAAAAACCAAACTTTTTATAAAAAAACCAGGGACTAACTTTGAATGTAAAAATGGATTCATTAACCATTGGTAAGTATGGAAAAATTGTTGTTTACTCCAGGAAAATTCATTTTTTGGCCGAAACGAAGAGTTATTATCACTTTAATATCAAACAACAGATACAAGCTTATTGCAGCTTTAATAAAATGTTCCTTATTTCTAACATATGTGATAGTGTGTCGAGAAAAAAAATATAGGATTAACTTTGACAACTGTTGATTTAGCAGTTAGTCATATCACTGACAGTGATACAGTGATTGTCTATCCACAAATATAAATACTGGAAAGCCAAAAAAAAAAAAAAAGAAATTTTAAAAGTTTGGGACATTTCTTCATGTTGGATTTGGTGATAGACCAAAATTCTAAATAAATAATATTTAAAATAGAAATAAATACTTGTGCTGGTACACTGTACCTAGTAACAAACTGGTGCTAAGGTGCTGTATTGCTTCCTGCAATAGAATGCACAATGATGCAATAAGTGCTACTGATATTGAAATACACATATACATGTATATATATATATATATATATATACATATACATATACACATGTATATATATATGTGTGTATATATATGTATATATATACACATATATATACATGTGTATAATGCATGACAAGTGATACATATACGTGCTGCTGCAGGTGCATCAGTGTATCTATAAAATGATATATACATAAATAATGAATGATAATCAAATAAATAAATGAATATTGTAAATATTGATGGTAACTTTCATATTTCCGATGAACTCCCAGATCAGGAGGAGGAGAGGGGCTTCAGGGAAATATGAATTTTTCTTTTTAAATTCAGTGCCAAGAAGTTTTCATAGTTTTTTAGAATTGCCCAAAGTTAAAGAAGTTTCATCATGTATATATATATTTCCAGATCCCTGGTTACTCCCTTTTATATAAGGAAGTACCATTTTTAGTTGTGATTTTTAAAATGTGAGCTGCTTCCACCCCTCTGTGCCCCTCCAGAACCTCTGCAGTTTCATAGATTGTAAAGGGTGTAGAAAGGGTTCCTTTTTTTCAAGCAAAATAGGAAGCATCAGATTCCAAAAAATGTTTAGAGTCAGGTACTGCCCTAAGTGCTGCTAGTTGGTTTTTATTAAAGGTGGCAGCAACACGAGTAAAACCAAAAAGGGTGTTTGGTTGCTGCTTTCCCCAAATTTCATTAAGCTACTATGTGCCTGTAAAGGAGTGAAAATGAATCCTCTGGGACTGCAGAACGCCACACAGTTTCAGGTGAAACAAAAGTGACCTTATTATGGAGAACTCCAGAATCTCCCCTCACTCCCCTACAGTGCACAACCAGGACATGCCTGGCCTCTAGAAAAGGCAGCAGTCTGTGAAGCAACTCAACCTGATCCTGCCATTTAGACATGGCTTCAGTGTGGTCGAAACCTACCTCACCAAAAGCTTTTACTAGCAGCATCTTAACCAACTCTGCGAAAGTCCAGATTGCCCTGAGAAAGCTTGCTGGCCAGCCTAGGGTGAAAACCAATAGCTACATACTCGTCCCCAGACAAAGTGGAAAGATACCCCTTAGTGGAATATGTCTTGGGATCGCAGTAAATAGCTACAATCCCCACCAACTCTACCTCTTTCACAGAGCAAACAGGAAGCAAACCCTTAAGACCCTCTAACTTGCCAGAGTATGGAAGACCAAAGGCAGCCAGGGTCCTTTCTGAAATTCAGATAGAATATTCTTTAATTTTTCCCTCTGAATTTTGTTTAAATTCCCCTTAGATGTTTCACAAACCACTTTTACATGATCAGGAATTTCTGATGTTTTGCTAGCGACGCATCCAGAAGAATCTAGTCCGGCGTGAACTTCACCAGCGATTTGTTGAAAATTCCGCGCCTGAGGTGACCCCTTTACAAGTGACTTGAAAATTTCGGTGTTAATTTTTTCTTCAACTAACCCCTTTCCGGCAGATGGGGCACTTAAAGGGCCCTGAGTACTTCCACCCACCTTCAGAGGTTGTTTACTTTTTGTGTCATTTTTAAATCGGGTACTTGTTTTAGGGATATTCTCCGAATTAGGGGAATTAACACCACAAACCCTTGTAGAATTTAATACCACAAGTTTTGTCCTGTTTGGGTGCACACTTGTTCTAGGGATTTTACCAGTTATAGGAGGGTAAATTGAATCCTCCACTGGTAAATTGAATCCCACAAGTGTGTTGTAGAATCCCTTCCGGTTTTAGGGACGGCTGATTTTACATGCGTAATTTCAGGTAATCCCACCAGTAGATCGGTAGTCATTGTCTCATCAATAGTACTGACAACACGAGCGCTGGATTGATCAATTATAGTAGACCCCCCTCCCACTCGATGTAAACCAAAGTGCGAAACAGGGTTTTCTCAAATTTCCGAAACTTCGCAAGCCATAGCGACTACATGACCCCTTTTTAATTTTTTGTATTGATCAGATGGGTTTACGAGGCACACGACTGGTTTTGAATTTTCAGACAAGACAGTTCTCGGTATTAGTAGTCCCTCTTCTTCTTTACCTTCAACGACGTATTTTTCCAACTTTTCGTCGATCTCGCTCGTTATCCTAAGTGCTGAATTTAGGGGTACTACCACATTTCTTGACACGCTAACCTGGGCTATCTTTATGTCTTGTGCACGCAACTCGATTTGTTGCATTGGTATGTTGCGCCCTTCTATTTGAATATAACCCAAATTGCAATGCACGCTCGCATTAAACTGGGTGATTAGGTCGTGGCCTGGGAAGGCCTTGTCTGATAACAGAGTATCTTCTGGCGGATACAGTAAAGTGAAAGTCTGCTACCTTTCCCCATCTGTGTATTCTGATATTTTTTAGCTTCTGATCATTAGTGGTTGAATGTTTATAATGAATGTTTTTCTTTTTTTCTAGTTCACACACAGTTTGACAGCTGTTGTACAGTGTCATGTTTCTCTGTAGTGGCCTGCTTGATGTGGTCAGTTTGGGATGATATGTATTGGACCCAAGGTGGAGCAGTGGTCATTACCCACCGTCACCCATCACCATGCCAAAAACACCTCCTTGCAGGTAGTGCACAAAATTATTGCTTGGTTTTGTTTTACAAGTTGTGTTACAATAGATAATTTGTCTTCTATCTTTCCATTGTAGATCAACAAACCAGTTATCATATTTTGTGCTTCCTTTAAATTTAAATAAATTTTTTTACTTCTCTCATGTTACTCCTCACAAAATGTACTTCTACAAGGCGCATTCAACTGATATACTTATCCCAGATTATTACAGCCATTGTTTATAGGCAATTTGTGTGCAAACTTCTGAAAAATCCCAGATTTGGCAGAGTTCTGTTATTTAACTTTGATCAGTTTAAGATTGTGACAGTTGTACCAGTCACAATTGTGTCCAGCAGCCTCCAAAATACATTTTAAATTTGTCTCTGTTCAGTCACCATAACTTTGATGTCTGCCATGTTAGGTGGACATTTGGCAGTATATTGTAGGTTTAATATTCTGCTGGCTCTTGTGGACTGTCAGGGTTCTGTCTTTTTATTAAGATAATTTATGTCACTTCATTAAGATAATCTTTTGTCTCTTTTTCCAGCTCCAGTCTCCATACAGCATGGTGTCTTCTAGGTGAACTGACTTTACCTGGCTGAACATGGGTTACACGTATTGTTTATATAAAATAGACAGGAAATGACAGCTGCAGGAATATCCCTTCATCTCACACAGTTATGGAGACACAGCAAGTTTCAGGATGAATGGGTTGTGAAGAGACAGAGACAGGACAGCCATGGTAAACAGGGAACTGGACTTCTTGCAGGTAGTACACAAAATGAAGGTTGGTTTTGTTTTTCAAGTAACAGTTGGTATAATAAGTCCTCTTTCTTACCTCTGTCGAGACACAAACACCAATTATCACAGTTTTTTTTTTTTATTTCATGAACAATATGACTTGAAAATTATGAGTTATTATAATCATAATGAATGTTTATCTTTTTTTTTAGCTCACACACATGGTTTGACAGTTGTTGTAAATTGTGAAGTGTCTCAGTAGTGGCCTGCTTGATGTGGTCAGATTGGGATGAAATGTATTGGACCCAAGTGGAGCAGTGGTCATTACTTCCCTTGGATGACCCATTGTCATGACAGTAACTGGACTGCTTGCAGGTGGTACACTAAACTAATGGTTGATAGTGTTTTTCAAGTCACGTGACAGTATATAATTGGTCTCTTAATCTTCCTCCTTTGAGAAAAAAAAGCAATAATCATATTTTGTTCCCTTAAAGTTTTAGTAATTTTGTCATGATTTAAAAAAATTATATTAGTAATTTCCTTAGTGACTTCTCTCAAATTACTCCTCAGAAAATATCTTTCAATTAGTCACAGCCAATTGATATCATTATTCCAGATTTTTACAGGTGTAAAGCATTTTGTGTACAAATTTCACAATAATTTCAACAGATTTGGCAGAGTTCTGTTTATTTAACTGTGTTCAATCTGAGAATGTGCTGGTCTCAGCAGTCACAATTGTGTCCAGCAGCCTCCAAAAGGCAAAGGTCATTTTTAACTTATCACAGTGCAATCACCACAACAATGATGTCTACCATATAAGGTGGGCACTTGGCAGTGTACCATAGTTTTAATATTTTTCCCAACTGGCTCTGGTGGACTGTCAGGTTTTTTGTCTTTTCTTTGTATTAAGATAATTAGTGTTCCTTCACTTATACATTGTCATGTCTCTTTTTCCAGCTCCAGTCTCCATACAGCATGGTGTCTTCTAGGTGAACTGACTTTACCTGGCTGAACATGGAGGACGTATTTTATATGAAGCAGAAATAAAAAGACAGCAACAGGAACATCTTCATCTCACCCAGTTGTGCAAGACGCGGGATGTGACAAGTTTTAAGATGAATGAACAGCCAGAGACAGGACAGCCATTGTAAACAGATAACTGGACCTCTTGCAGATAGCATACAAATGTTTGTGGTTGTTTTTTTATACAAATAACGATAGGTAATTTGTTTCCCCTCTTTCCTTGTAAAGACACAAATACCAATTGTAACATTTTTTTTTTTTTGGGGGGGGGGGGGTGAATGTTGAAAGCATGATTATTATGAATAAAATGAATGTTTCATTGCTTTAATTATAATGTTAATTTAAATATTAATATTCATCAAGTGCTTTATTAATCACACCTGTCATTTGTTAAGAATTTGAACCAATTCATCTTATATGCACAAAACACATAAAATGAATACTTATATTTTAATTTGATCACCATTACATACGAGCAGTATTAAGATATAAATATCAAGTATGGTGATACAAAAATTATTTTGTGCATTTTACAAAAGCATCCTATATTTCAATTAATTATCACTGAATTGTTTCTGATAATAGTTTATACTAGATGCACGAAGAATTGTTAAAGGATATTACAGAGAGGATTCACATGATAACGGTTACACTGCAAACAGTTACACCCATTTCATTTATGATTTTAGAGAGTGCTGCCAGAACCACCCAGAACAAGACTTCCAAACACGACAGATCCTGTGGAGCCAGTTATATGGAACAGTCAAATTACACAACAAATGTGGGTTCCAGGTAACACAAAGAATCAATTTCCCCCATATGCATGGAATCTATAGAGGCTGGGTATATAAAGCAAGGAGATTGTGTTGGACAATTCTCTATCACTGAAAACAAATAGACATATTGGAAATGTTTAAGAGTGAATTGATATTTCAGCTCAAGGTCGATGCGTTATAACGATGCGTTTTAATAATTTTTCCCATGTGCATGGAATCTGTTTCAGTGCTAGCTATATATATATATAGTAGAGATAGCATATACAGTGAGATTGTAGAAGACAATAAACCTTCACTGAAGAGAAAAGGACACCAGTGAAAATGTTTAAATGTGAATATATATTTCAGGTCAGATATGATGTGTTATAGATGATCACTGTTATTGCGAGTTCATTAAGGTATAATTGCAAGTTTTATCACATATTTATTATATACAGACACTCAGTCTGTCTATATTCTGATCACTGTGTCTGTCCAGTGTCATTGCCATAGTCAGCACTTTCTGACATATCTGTTGTTTACCCTAAAACTGATTAATGTATTTTTGTTTTAAATTCCTCTAGAAAATCGGCATGATTGGATTATTTTATGATATTGTTTTGTTATTGTTAGCAGTTTGGTTAAGATGCTACAGTATTTCCTGAGTATATCAAATTAAAGCAGCAATGTAGATGTGTTTGTGCATCAGGAGTGTTGTTAGTGTATCTGCCTGTTTCAGTGTAGAGTTTATGCCCACTGGTGCGAAAACAACTAAGTCTTTTTCTTTTTTCATCATCTTGAACAACATCCAGATATTTTTCCGTTTTAAATGTATTTTTGAACTGGCAATAGGTGCTGGATTTAGATTTGTCCTTAAGTTAACTGTGCAAGTACGAAGCCACTGATGATGTGTTTTTTAAATGTGCTAAGGAATTTTATGTGAGGATTCGACAATATTACACCTCCAAATCCGTTTCCAATAGGAGTTTCATGATACCTTCACTCCATGAGAAGTTACCATCTTTCAGATTTGACAAGCTTTTTGTTGAGAGTAATTTGTAATATTATAATTCATCTATAGATATGCTTGTTTAGGTAGGTTGTTATCATCCAAGTGTTATATTTTAAGCCAAAATTTTATTAATTGTATTTTAATCTTTATGTGAGCAAGAATTCTTCCAGTCTCTCCTCTTCCTGCATACTTTGGTGATAAAAGTTGTTTACAAAACCTGAGGTTAAGTTTTTACAATTTTTACTGTTAGAGTAGTATAACCTCATAACTCTGATGAGTATGTTCATGACTCCATAATGCCCCAGCTTTGGACAGATGTTATTAAGTCTGTAATTTTCATTGTTTCTTGAGCACAAACATTTGGTTTTATGGTCTCATTGCCCGAGTAAAATGGTCATGGGATATTTTATTTGATTTTGAAATCCTTCGGTATGCAGGTTACTTTAGTCGGGGAAGCACGTGGGAATGCTGAGCTCATTATTGCCTGCCCAATATATATAGCAGCACATCTGATGTCAGCATTTTTGCTTTTGATTATTGACTTCAGAAGAAGATTTAAAGAGGGTGGTTACACTGATAGGTTTTGGGAAACAGAGCTAACATCTTTTTTAGTGGGATATATGTTGTTATGCTTTGGTAGGGCTCTACCATACTTGCCCGAACTGGAAACTCACTTGCCCGAATTTTACCAAACAAAAAATAAACTGTTTATGTCTTTCTTCATTTCAATTTTATTCTGGTGTTTGGGGTTTCTATTCTGTGAAATATCTGAAATGTAATGATAGTCTTGGATATGTCTGAGATATTGCCTGAGAAAATGCTTCAAATCTGCAATACAGAATATAAAGAGAATAATGAGTACAAATATCGTCATCCTTTCTTGTCAAATTTCCCAGCTTCTAGAAGAGTCACCCATCACAATCATCACTGATGCGACGGCGTCTCTGGCCTCCATGCAGCCACCTGTCATACACCTTGTCTGCATCAAATGCCTCATATGATTCACCCTCCATGGCAATGAGAAGGTTATCTAACATGCTGGTGGCCAAACTCTCCCGCTTATCTGTTTTCACTCTCTTCACTGCACTGAATCCACGTTCACGGACTGCTGAAGACATGGCAGTCACTAAAAAAAATTCCACTACCATACTGATGTTACTGAATCTTCTCTGTAATTCTTCATCTGTAAACAACATGGCCCATGTATCCTGAATGTGTGCAGCATCACGTCTACCCCTCACATTCACTCTGTTCATTACCAAAGCTTTAACTGCTGGGCACTCCCTGAGAACTTGGTTCTGGTCACACCCAAGTCTCTGCAGCAACTCATTAAAATGAACCATGATTATAATTTGGAGATAAGTATTCCCGTGTACAACCACATTTATGAAGATTTCACGATATTTATGAAGATTTCACAATTTTATGAAATTAAATATCTGTTCTTTTACTTGCCCCGTGAAAAAAAGGTGAAACTCGAGTAATCTGAGATGTTAAAATCCAAGTAGGCCTAGTGAGCTTGCCATACAATGTGCCAAAGGGCAGTGAAGTGTCCGATAATTATGGAAATGTATGTGAAAATTTTCACCTCTGACAATGGCTATGGCTGCCGACTTAAAAATTACCGCGTGACAGACAGACAGAAACACATGTTACTACTGCAGCGCCCTCGGTGATAGATTGATGAATGATGAAATGACGTTACGGGATCGACGTGAATAGTTAGACAATCAACGAAAATAGTGAGAGCATTGGTTTTAATACACCGTAGATGAGAAATGTTTGACAATTGAATTGACGAAAGTAGATGTTGAATTTATGATAGGCTCGTTTAAACTTAAAACTGAATTGATGGGAAGGCAGTGAATCTACGAAACATAACTGAATCGATGACTTGAATTTTTGCCCTTTTGGCCCCCCCTACTGATAGTTTGATGATGCCAAGATCCAATGATTCCAAAGGTTCAATAGTCAGAAGGTTCATTGGTCTGATAGTTTGATAATGCAAATGTACCGTTGTTCCAAAGGTTTGCTAGTCAATAGGTTCACTTGCTTGATGTTTCATGGTCCAAAGGTTCTAAAGTCCCAAAGTATGAATTGTGTATGGTGTAATATAGCAATGACGTGATTCTGCTGATGGCGTTAATGTTTTTAATGACTGGTCGTTACTCCATAATGCCCATGATTTGAACAGGTGTTACTTTATCTGTAATTTCCATTGTTTCTGGAACACAAATATTTGGTTTTATGGTCTCGTTGCCTGCTGCTGTAAAGATAAGGACTGATTTCAACACACATAAGCTATATTTTAATTCCTTATATTGAAGTATTTTAATTGTCTGAATTACATGACATACTTCATGACACAGTGTGCTGTCACATGTATACAGGAACTGTACTTTGAATCTTGCAAGTGCATGACGTTGAGCTAGATTTGTAATGCAAAATGAATATTATTATTTGTCCTTAGCTGTAAAAAAAGTGACTTCTATGTCATCACCATAAATACAAATTGGTCTATATAAATATTCTGTGATTTTTTTATGCATAACTACCTAATATCATGCAAGGTGGTATGTAACATCTGTGCTGTAATGATAGGCAATAATCCAGAAGACAAGGAGAAACATGAATAACTTAAACAATTAATATCACTTTACTACTACGTGAACTTAGGCATTTTGTTGGGGAATTGGTTACTACTGCAAATCTGCTGCAAAAACATTGCTAAAATGATCTGCATGTTTCTGTCTACTTCACTTCTTCTATGTGAACTTAGTCATTTTGTTGGCGGATAAGTTGCTACTTCAAATTGGCTGCAAAAATGATCAGCATGTTTCCATCTATTTCACTTCTTTGATGTGGACTTAATCAAGTCTTAGTATGTTGATGAACAGCTTTTTGTTTTCCAATGACTCCTTATCATTTTCTCATGCTCATCATTCAATTTTGTCTTACCAGCCTCGGAGACTTTCCAATAATGAACAGAATTGGCCTATGCAAATCATTTAAATACTGTTGTCCCTTTGAAGGAAATCGGTAAAAGCCTTGTAAAAATGATTGTACCAAATAACAGATGATGGCAATAATATGATATTATCCAGGTACTTATATATTCTCCATATTGACATCAAGCTGCTTTCTAACGTCAATCATGCAGAAAAGTAAAAAGAATACTTTGCCAACTAAGGTTAGCACTACTATTTATTGTATAAATCCCAGTTAGTTTACATGTACTTATACCTGGATATGCTCACAAATGGAGTTTTTCAACAAGTGAAAAACGTGCTCATAATACTTAGTACAAAATACGCTAACAAAGTGAATAAAAAAACGTATGGTAGCTGTTATTGTGAAACAAGGCAGCAAATAACTGTGCACAAAAGAGGCTACTGTCAATTCTGATGCAAAAGTACATTATGTTAAACTGCAAATTGAACATCAAATTTTAATTATGCTCAAAAGGTAATACCAATGTAAGTAAAATGTGTAACAAGCATAAGGCTTCAGGCCCATGGGAGTTCAAGTTCACACTTTGAAAATGTATAACTTTCAGAAAAAGAAGCCAATGAGAATGCTTTTCCAACTCGGCCTGCATTTTAGTCCTGTATTTTTTTTTTGAAAGTTTGGCAACCATAAGTAACACGGTTTTCCCATAATGGTCATCATTGCAGCAGCATTTTCTTCTATTCTGATGCCATATTACATAATGGTTATAATTATAAATGTTAAAATTATAAAATTATAAAATTATATATATAGTTATAAATGGCATAATGACTGTCAATTTTTAATAATAAAATATACGTATCATGGCTTTTCAGAAAATGTGACTGCTTGGGTCTTCAAGCCCGTGGAACTTCAAAGTCACACCTTGAAAATGCCAATGTGTGAAAAATTATATTTTCACAAAAAAAAAAACTGTTTAACTGGCGGTAAGAATTATCAAACAGACTGCATTGCCTACTGAAGCTATATTTTAGTACCATGTTTCTTTCCTGTAAGTTTGAGAACAGTAAGTGACATGGTTTTTCTTAAATGGTCATCATGGGAGCAGTGCCAAAAATAGTTTGTTTTTTTTTCAAATTTTGATGCAATATTACATAACGTTTAACAGCATAATGACCATCACTTTTAATAATAAAATATTAGTATTATGGATATTCAGAAAATGTGACTAGCAAAGGTCTTGAGGCCCATGGAACTTCAAAGTCACAACTTGAAAATGCCAAAATGTAAACAAGACATCACTGTTCTGAAATGTTTTTTTTCCATTTTTAACAATTTTTAACATAAAACATAATAAACAGTTTACTGCCATTTTTATATTACCAACTAAGGAAATTGATGGGATGGGGAAAATATCAATAAGACAGTGTTATATGTCCAATTTCCTCCATTCTGAGATTCTGAACATAGTGGATGATTGAATCTGACAAACTGCAATGATATGTGTTTATTTCCATTTTTGACACTTTATTACACAATACACAATAACAAGATTACTATCATTTTCACAAAATCAACTAACAATGTTGTAAAGATGCAGGAAATGCGAAACAAACACATTTACATATCTTATTAGTTCAATAATGAGACTGTTAACATGCCTAAGAATTGAATGTGAGGAAATGTGAAAAAACAGCATAACTTCTAAAATAATGGACCGATTATGCTGATTTTCCAACTCAACCTGCGTTTTAGTAAGATTGGCCACTCCTATGAGTATTATGACAATTGGCCTATCTGTTTTTCTTATATTGTGTTATCAGTGTTGCATATATGCTGAAAAAAAGTGAAAAAAACTTCCATAAAAGTGGCCCAATCATGCTGATTTTCAAACTCGACCTGTGTATTATGAATATTTATCAGTTCTGTAAGTTTCAGGCCAAAGGGTAAAACAGCTTCTCATTTATTGTGTTATCGGTATTGCAAAAATGCTGAAAAAAAGTGAAAAAATAGCCTAAATTCACTATAAATGACCCAATCATGCTGATTTTCAAACTTGACCTGCGTATTATGAATATTTATCAGTTCTGTAAGTTTCAAGCCAAAAGGTNNNTATCTTAAAGAATATTATGATATTATAGTATAATATTGATGTCTGCATTTAAATTCACTTGCAGGTGTAAAAAATATAACATTCTTATATATTCGACTTGACAAATAAACTATTTACCACACTAATGGTCTTATGTTTGTTCTAAATGACAAAAACAAAATATTTCAACTTCTTCAATAAAATAATAATAAAAAAAAAAAAAAAAAAACAATGGTGGATCTAGTCTCCGCCCTCCCCGAGGAGAGAGACCCATTCTGGACTCACATGATCAAGTTCTCAAAATATTCCATCTCGCTCCAAATGTCAACATCTGACCCCTTTCAAATGTCCTGGATCCGCCATTGTTTTTTTTTTTTTTCTATATAATAATGACAATTATGAGATTTTTATTAAATGCT